CAAAAGGCTGCAGTTTCTAAGGAAACTCTAAACTACTATCTAGAACACAAAACCCCAGTTAGGAGAAAGAAGAGCTGCTCTGCGTCTACCCAGGAAGATAAACTTTCCAGAAACAACTAAGTGGTAGAAGGATTGGAACCAGTAGCTATGAGGTGGAGCTTTTGTTTGCTTCGTAGACTAGAAAGTATCAGTATATATCACACCTAATAAGTATTTAAACATTAAAGCTTTGTTCCATACTTTTACACTATATAGTTGTTACTTGGTTTATCACAATGTAAGCTCTTACTACAGGTCCAGTAAAAAATTCTGAAAGCCAGTGAATTATTAAAGACAAAGAAACTAAAGGAAGAGACTACAGAGGAGGTTGCTGTAGGTTTGCTGAGAATGAGGAGTGAAGATGGTAGAATGAGCCTCAAGTAGTTGGCAATGAAGACATGAAGTCTATTACCCAGCTCTAGGTCCACTAGGATACTGGCATCCTCACTGCCCTACGGCCCCAGTGTATTGCTTATAAGCTCTGTATTTCCTTCAAATTTGACTGAGCACAGGGTTTTCACTCAGGTGTAGCTATAAATATCTATAAACATGGACTTTAAAAATAGAGGTACCAGAAAGTCACCAAGTAATATGAAGAAGACATGATTGAGCATACCTATGAGCACGCTGATGCACTAAAACACACCAGAGAGAATGAAACCCATTTTATTACAGCTGGGGAGTAGTAGGTTGTACAAAGTCTCAATAGGAGGGGCAAATACTAGCTAAATCAAGAGGGCAGAGGCAGGAGGCCCAGAAACTATACCATAAGACTCTGAGTGGGTACAAAAATGGTAAATATGGCTTTATCCTACAATTCCTGTAAGTCCTTAGAGGTCACTCATGAGGACCTTGGGGCCCTGAAAGGAAAGGTCTTCCTCCTCAATGCTCTGGGCCTGGAGTTGAAAGCTGTTGAGCTCCAGGTTAGGAAGGGTGCTCCTTGGGAGATCTGAGGGGTGGGAAAAGGAAAGAGAGAACAAACCATCAGTATACTTTGTGACAGACACAGAAATAGGCCCTGGGTCTATATGATGAGGAGGGATATACAAGCCTGACTTGGGATAACTAAAAACAGAAGCTGATGAATACCAGAGACTCCACTGTCAATTAGATAGTTGGCATCCAAGCACCATTCAAAAATCAGCCTCCCCCAGAACTGGAGCCCCAGCCCTTACCCCCACCTAGCTTCCTTAAAAGTTCCCAGCTACTGTTACTGTCCAGAAGACTGACTTCAGAGCTAGATGAAGAAAGGGACATGGCGAAAGTGGTAGTCAGGGGCAGCTTGGACTGGAGGACATGAATGGAAGTCCTAGAAGGGAGAAAAGAATCAGAGGCTGAGGTGGTAATGGTGGGTTAGAATGAACCCTCCCAGCACAGAAATGTTCTCCTAGAACTCAGAGTTCTAGTCTCCTCCCCCTTTATCACCCAAAAGTAGAAAGACATGTCAGTGATTCTATCAGGAATGCTTAATACTGCCTCTACAGGCAGCAACCCAGATACCTATACTTCTTCTACCAGCCCAGGCTAAATCTAAGATAGCTGAACTTGGTGGTCCAAAGTGCTTGGCCTCATTGAAACAAATCTCCTCTACTGACATTTTACCCACATCCCCTGACCTGAGGAGGTCCAACTTCCGCTGGGCATCTTGGGCTTCTATTCTGGCAGCCTCCAGGATGTGATCCTTGCCTTCCTGGCCACACTGTAGTTGCTCCAACATCTGCTAGACCATGAGCCCGGGTAGGACCAAATCTCTCCTTCTCCAGGGGGAAACCCCCCACCCTATGACTAGCCTCTTCAGTATACTTGGAACCTTCATATTGGCAAGGATAGTATCTCATGCCCTGAGGGAGAGGGACTAGGAAGGGATAGTACTGGAGGGAGATGGAGTCAACACAAGGAAAAGAGAAAAAAATAGGAGTGAAAAGGTGTCTTGGTCTACATGCAGACTATATATAGACAAAGGAAAGGGCTCTCATTGGGAGATTTGAGTAAATAAATCTAATCCTACCCCTACCTTCCAGCTCCGTGCCTGGATCTGCCACCCCTCAGTCATCTGTTTCAGCAACAATTCCTGGTGCTGGCCTACAGATGAGAGAATGTACAGGGGCTGTTTGCCAGTTTCTTTCTTTGCCCCTCCTTCCCTGTCTTATGCCCAATCTGGTACTAAAACTAAGATAGACACATTCTAGTCTAACATTGAAAAGTCTCCAAATTGACTGAGAAAATTATACTCACACTGTGTGAGGCAAAGAGCAAAATAAAATCTTTTGCCAGACTTCTGAGTAGCCCAGTCATAGCTGTGGTCACTTACTGGGTGGGCAAGAAAGCTGTCCAGAAAAGGGGAAAAAGAGAACACCACTCTAATCTTTTACTTACTCAGCTGGTCTCTCAGCAACTTCAGTTCTTCTCGAAGAATCTCTGACTCCTCCCACAGTAACTGTCGCCTGCAGTGGTGACAGCATTATCATTCTGAGTCAAATAAAAAGCCTTGAAAGAGGAAGCCATCAGCATTCCAGAAAAAAAAAAGAACCTCACTGCTGTATGTCTGTTTTGACACAGAGCAACTCTCTAAGGCACTGTAGAATTGCCTCTACAGTTTATAAGGCTATAAATTTTAACAGGAGATTACCTCATTCAACAAGAGCAGCTGGTGGGCTCCAACCAATGATCTTTCTAGTCAACAACCCAACACTTAACCTACTACCTACGTCCAGAGTACCATTAATTCAGAGGACTGAATTTCACTTACTCATTCTGCAATTCCTGGTGTCTACCACCGGTAGCATTGTACTTTTCTGATCTCGATTGTATGTGGGTTTGAGTCTGGCCTTGTTCCTGCACCTGGCTACGAAGGACCTGCAGTTCCCTTCTAAGGCCTTCCAAGCGTTGTTCAAGGATGCAGACCTTCCTTTCTGGCTTCCCCTGAAGCAACCTTACTGAGGCTGTAATGAAAGACAAATTGGGTATCAACTCCTTAACAGTGTCCCATGAGTCCTGAGACCCTGTTTGCAAATAAAGACTCGTGTGCACTTGCAAAAGGTTTGAAGCAAAATTGTGTGCAAATACATGAGGCTGTGTATATAAAAGAACAGACTGTCCAGATACCTTCCAGGGCACTGATCTGGTACTTCTGCTGGTCTCTTTCTTCCAGTAGATCCTGCACCAACTTCCTTAGGGCCTCAATCACCTACTTGGACAGAAGAACCACGGAAGCAACTGTGTAAGGAGATTCCCCAACCACTAGTATTATTATCTCAGAGAAATCGCATAGATACACATCCACACCCCTATAATTTCACACCTCACCTGAGACTGAGATCTAAACTGGCATCGAAGAATAGTAACTTCATCCCACAAAGAGGATGTACTGTGGGTTTCAGCCCAGTTCAGTCTCTCTGGAACAAGGGGAGAAACTTCTAGGTCCCAGGGATGTTGAGCTCGGCCTCGACATTGGGGAGCCAAGTAAAGAGAAGTACATGTACTAGCCAGGTCCCCTGCTGAAGCAATTAAAGAAGGGACAAGTCCAGAGCCTATCTATATAATGGAAGAGAGTTCAAGAAAAGAAAGTTGGAAAGTGGAAAGAGTAGTAACTTGTACAGGCAGTGGGGAAAAAGCAGATCCTAGATAGGGTAAGTTTAGGAATGAAAAAAAGGAACAAGACCTACCTGCAGTGGAGACGCCAAAAGGATATAGCTGCTGCTACAAAAAGACATGGATGTACAACGAGTGAGCTTCGTCTGAGAGCCCCTTAACCTGAACCCCAAAGCCAGGGTCTCAAGTGTTCCCTCACCTTAATACGGGCCACATTTCCATCAGTGGCATTGAGAAGCGCGTCGAGCTGCTCCGACCAGCTCAGACTCCTGCTCATACCGGTGCAGCAGAAATCCGGTTCTCTGTATTTCCTGTCCTTGCTCTCCAGGCTGCAGATACTGAGGCAACAGGCCAAAAAAGACCAACTCAGATCAAAACAAATGGACGGGAAAGCAACACTAACGGTGTGGATGCAAAAATCTGAGACTTTAGGAACTAGTCATGGGCATGATGCTTTTAAGGTATTGGGCTGAGGGGGTGGGGGTGGAGAATATCCTGATAAATAAATGTCAGGTGTGAGTTGAAGACACCGAATATTGGTTGAGACCGCCCCACATAGCGGACATCAGCGCCACTGGGCCGAACCGACGACAGAGAATATTGCCGCTGCAGGTTTCAAAACCTCCAAGGGGCGCGGAGACTCTGAATTCAAACTAGCTATCACAGTGCCACCTGGGATTTTGAGTTCGTCTCTGAAAGAAAAAAAGCGCCGTTGAAGGTAGCGAAACTACATTTCCCTAGAAGTAGTAGTGCCGTCACATCTCTATCGTGAACTTGCCGGGAAGCCTAGTTTCCTTCAGTTTATAATCCTTGGCTCTGAGGAAGAAATAAACTACTTTTCCCAAGGTGCATCGTACAAAAGCACAGTTGTAACGCAGCTGGTTCCAGTCGTTCCTGGGAAATGGAGTCCAATTACTATTAAAAACAACGGCCCACTTTCCCCTTGAGACTCCATTTCCCAGAAAGCTTAGCGTGTGGCGTGTATTATGGAGCCGCAAGTCACCGAGCTAAAGCTGAAGATTGAGGACATACTGTGCCCTTTCGGCTTCGAGGTTTATCCTTTCCAGGTTGGTTTATTTTTTCCTGCGGTGCTAGCGCGAGACATATGATTAGACTAGGTGCTACCGACTTGAGGACCTTGGGAGCCTTCTGATCTTCTCCAAAGCCTCTGTCCCAGTGTCCATGGGAATGGAACAGGTTTTCTTTGGAAAACTTGGGTTAAAAGGTTAAGAAGTAGTCGCACATTTGTTATTTCATGCCTGTATAATAGAGATTTGATAGATTCGAGACACCATATGATTCAGTAATTTCTGTGCTGCCCTGATTATTATTTACATAATTTGTAGGAAAGAAGGGACATGTGGAACAACCCCGTTCACCTTGGACTAAAGGAGTTAGAGAAAAGCAAGACCTTAAAAATTTGCATGGCAAAAAAAAAAAAAATTGCATGGCTAGAATTTAAGTCAACTGAGGAAGGAAGGAATTGTTCAAACAATTGACTGATTTGTTTCATTTACAACAAAAGGATAATTCATGGCGTTACCAGTCTAGTGCTGGACTCGGTAGAAGCACTCGCCTGGCACAGAAGTCGCAGTAGCACCCCCACACTTACACACTTGGCCTTTCATCAGTGCCCCCTGTACTAAGCAACATGCTTGCACACAGAACTTGGTGCTTAGGAAATGGCTTAATTTTTACCCTAGTAACTGGGTGCTGGGCAGCATGTAAAGTGATAGGTATAGCCTAACTTGAACGAGGAGACGTTTTGTTGTTGTTGTTATGTGCCCTGGAGTCACTTGCGACTCATAGAGACCCTATGGACAACAGCCCTAAACCCTGCTCTATCCTGTGCTAATCGCATTGCCTCTGACACACCCATGCCGATTACCCCAGTCACTGAATCAATCCATCTCGTAGAGGGTCTTCCCCTGCCGCGCTGTCCCGCTACCCTACCAAGCATGATGTCCCTCTCTAAGGACCTGGCTCTCCTTATAACATGTCCAAATTATGTCAGACGAAGCCCCAGAATCCTTGCTTCCAAGGAGTAGCCTGGTTTAACCCTCTCTAGGATGAATCTGTTTGTTTTCTTGGCAGTCCATGGTACATTCAATACTCTTCTCCAGCACCACAG